CCCGAACCCGCGTCCCGCCCTCGCGCCGGCCCTGCCTGGCCGCAATCGCCGGCATGGCGGTGACGATGCTGCAGGACTGGTGCCGCTGGATGGGCGTCAGCCCTCGCAGGGCCCTGCTGGTCCTGGGCGTCCCCGAGGACTGTGACGACGCAGAGTTCCAGGAGTCCCTGGAGGCTGCCCTGTGGCCTCTGGGCCACATCACGGTGCTGGGCAAGGTGTTTCGAGAGGAGGATCGTGCCACCGCGGCCCTGGTGGGCCTCGACCGCGAGGTCGACTACGCCTTGGTCCCCAGGGAGATCCCGGGCGCCGGGGGCCCCTGGCACGTGGCCTTCGTGCCCCGCTCTTCGGGCGAGGAGTTTCTGGGTCGCGTGTTCCACTTCCTGGAGCAGCACGGGCAGTCGGTGGAGGGCTTGGCCGGCGCCCTGGGCCTGGGGCTGCCCAGGATGTGCTGGCTGCGCTCGGTCAGCCGGGCGGTCCAGCCCTTGCTGGGGGCCCTGAGGTACCAGCGCCTGGGCGTGTTCTCCGGGAGGGACCCGCCGGGCCCGGGGGAGGAGTGCTTCGAGGCCTGGCTGGACCACGCTGGCGACATGCTGCAGCTGTGGCAGGAGGTCTCGGAGAGGGAGCGCCGGCGGCGGCTGCTGGAGGGCCTGCGCGGGACCGCCCGGCAGCTGACCTACGGGCTCCTGGCGGAGAACCCCGCCAGGACCGCGCAGGACTGCCTGGCGGCCCTGACCCAGGTGTTCGGGGAAAGAGAGTCCCAGGCCACCATCCGCCTGAAGTGTGTGGTCGCTCGGCAGCAGACGGGCGAGCGCCTCTCGGCTTTCGTGCTGCGGCTGGAAGTCCTGCTGCAGAAAGCGGTGGAGATGGGCGCCCTGGCCAGAGCCTCTGCTGACCACCTGCGCCTCCGGCAGGTGCTCACCAGGGCCAGCCTCATCGAGCCTCTGGACGAGGCTCTGAGGAAGCTGAGATTGGTGGGGAGGCCTCCGAGGTTCCTGGAGATGCTGGGGCTGGTTCGGGAGGCAGAGGCGTGGGAGGCCAGTGTAGCCAGGAACCTGAGAGCCCGGGCCCAGAGAGAGGCCGATGCCCGGGCCCAGAGAGAGGCTGATGCCCGGGCTGAGGCCCCAGCCGTGGCCAGAGCCCAGGCCAAGGCAGAGGATGAGAAGGTGGAGAAGGAGGAGGAGGAAGAGGA